TTGCTTTCAAAGCGCTATTTAAAGCGCCCTTCTTTCTCCGCGCTTGCTGTTGTCGCCCTGTTGATGACGTCAGTGCTATTTAAAGCGCCCTTCTTTCTCCGCGCTTGCTGTTGTCGCCCTGTTGATGACGTCAGTGCTATTTAAAGCGCCCTTCTTTCTCCGCGCTCGCTGTTGTTGCCCTGTTGATGACGTCAGCGACGCGGTTTAATCGGGCGCGCTTTAGTCGAGCGCGGTTTTGTCATGCCATGAGTGTTTGGAAGGGGTTTTGTTTAAAAGGAGCGTGGTTTAATTTTACGAAGCTTAGATGGATTGGACTTTCCACCTTTGGTCATACTAGGTAGAAATTCAGCAAGCATAAATCCTAACATAGCTGCATGGCACCAATTAGATTGATTGATTGATTTGATTGATTGATTGATCAAATTTATAGGCTGCCCAATCCTGAAGGACTCCGGGCGGCTTACAGAAAATAAAATTTTAAGAGAAAGGTTAAAAACAGGCAAGAGAAAGCAGATTAAAAGAAACACATCATGCACCCAGTCTAATCAGGGCTTGACCTCGGTCAAGAGGTCAACAGCCCCAGGCCTGCCGGAAGAAAAAGTGGAGGATTTTTTTTTTTTCCTAAGCAGGAAGGGTACATTTTAAAAATCCAGCTGCAAAGCTAGTGGCACTCCATAAGCCAAGCACTGGAACAGCGTTTCCCATTCTGTGTGATAGGTAAGAAGAATTAGCATCACCCTCAGCTGCAAACAGCTGGGTCAGCCAAGTGAAGCAACGTGATAATTATATTTCCTCTGCTGAACAAAATGTTGAATCATCAGTGTGAGCGGTTTTCCCACAACCAAGCATGCCTGATCAGACAGAAGCAAAAACATCCAAGCAAACAGACAGATAGAAGCACAATATCTAAGCAAACATTTCATGTTTCTCACCAGCATTTGCCACACTGTCTGTATCCCTCAGGAGAGGCACTTGGGAGCTGTTTCCACCAACTGTGATACAATCAAAAGAGAGGAAAAGGTTTCCATAAAAGGGATAGCAATAGCAATTAAGATTTATATATACCGCTTCACAGTCCTCTCTAAGTGCTTTTACAGAATCAGCCTATTGCCCCCCCACAATCTGGCTCCTCATTTGACCCACCTCGGAAGGATGGAAGGCTGAGTCAACCTTGAGCCTGGTGAGATTTGAACTGCCAAATTGCAAGTAGCCGGCAGTCGGCAGAAGTAGCCTGCAGTACTGCATTCTAACCACTGCGCCACCATGGCTCAGTGACACATAGAACCAGTAGTAGGCAGGACAAACTGACCCCATGGCTGTATTTTTGAATCCTAGCAGTGGCCTGCTATACAACATTGCAAGCTATGCTTTCACTAAGCACATTACAGTACAAGCCCTGACAAGCCAAAAAATAAGTGGCCAGTTGGTCTAACTCTCTGCTTAATACAACAAAAATCTGCTGATTGAAGATTTCCAAGGGGAGAGAGAGAATTCTTCCCTTCCCCCATTTTTTATCAACTAATTGCAATTGTCAAAGAGATCTAGCATTAGGGACACCCAGAAAAGGCATCCAATTAGATCAGAGGTGGGTTTCTACCAGTTCGCACCTATTCGGTAGAACCGGTTCGTCAAATCTACC